AACCTTACCTAACCCCATGTTGCATGTTCATATGAACTGTAGATCAGATATTTTTTTGAACAAATACCCGTCTTTCATCCTTTCAGCATACCTACAACCTACTAAACAGCCTTGGTATCAACCTAGCATTCATACTTTATCTGCACATACATATTGATATAGGTGGTATGTTTAAGTGTTGATGCACATAATGCAATGTGTTTTTTCCATGGGCGCAGGGACCTCACGTAAAGTTTGGGGGGCAGAGAACTTCAATGTCACTTTGTGGGAACCCTAATACCCCTATGAACAAATTCTTTGCAGTTTCGTGCTCATCTCACCTTGCCGAACCATTTCATGCTCTTAGTTTTGAATTTAAATGAAAAATAAATATTTTACTTTAAAAATTAGCATAGCTGAAAAGTGGGGGCATGCCCCCCCTCCGCTCCTACGCCTATGGTTTTTCTTAATGGTACAAATCATCCACATTCATATGTGAAGGGTAGGTAGCTACCTACAGAACCAAATCAATGCCTCGATTGCTCATTGTTTTCTTACAATAAGTCCCTCCTCTGCCAATCGCACTAAAGTATCTACTGTCACAATGCAGTGTGCGTCATGATTTCTCAACTCTATGCTTACAATATATTTCCATTTGTCAATCACATATTGTTTTTTTTTTACAGGCTTTCCGGTTATGACTGAGGCCGGCATCTCACCTGTCCTGGCTACGCCAAATCACTGCGGATGCCGGATGCCGAGGACCGGAGAGCCAACCGCTTTGAGGCGTGAGCTCTGTGGCGTGGCTCGAGTGACGGCTACGGCGCCGTCGACCTGGTTGAATAGCTGGGGCCTGGACGAGGGTGCCCTTAGTACGGTGGCCAGTCGGTTACGTCCGAGGGGCGCTCGAACACGCTGCCGTCGCGTGGCTGCCGGCGGCCGCCCCCTCGCACGTGAATCTTCTGGAGCGAGGACTGCGAGAGGCGGCCGCACCATCACCTGTGTCCGCGCTCAACACCGTGCCACGCACTAATGGCGGAAGCCCGACTTTCTCCGATGGAGGAGAGAAGCTGGACGCTGGCTGCCAGGCTGCTGGGGAGGGCGCTGGCTCTGCCATCAGGGGACCCCCTGCGCGCGACCGCCAAGGCCTCGGCACCGGCGCGCCTGTCTTCGGTCCGAGGCTGGAGATTGCGAGGCCGCCAGGCCTGGGCGAGAGCGAGAATCCCACCGTGTCAACAGACGGCTGGCGTCACCTTCCGGTTGGACGTGTGCCCGATCCGGGCTGGGGCCACGGCGGCGGAAAGGGAAAGCGTGGCTACGCTGCACCTCGCGTTCTTGCCCCTGTGTGCTGTCCGGCTTTGGACGGACGGATCTGCGGAGGGCGGAGTCTTCAGGTGCTGGGCGGGAGCCGTGCTGGTCTGGCTGTATTTGTATTTGTATTTGTATTTACATTTAAGAGCGATCCACATACAAAGTGCGTGGCGATTACTGCTCAGAATCCGTATCCGCGGCTGCTAATCTAATCATTCAAAACATTTGCACATTCACTCACGTCAAAACAAGGACAAGGCTGGACGAAGAGGCCGAGGAACTGCGGGCCCCGGCCGGAGAGCTGTGCTTTAGCTACCGCGCGGAGATGGTGGCGCTGGTGACCGGTCCGGAGACCCTACTCGGAAGAGACAGAGACCAGGACCTGCGTTCCGTACCTATCTGCTAACTGTGCAGTGGTGCTGGTGTGCAGCATTTTTGGATGGATAGCTACATTTCACGATTAAATAGCTGTTACGTTTCAGTGCAGGTGGCGTGACGAACAATGTGGTAGTTATCTGTTCGTCACTTCTGCGGCCGCTGCTATTTCCTACTCGAAGGCGGGCGCGCTGTTTGGCTGGGCCGCCAGGATGTTCCCATTATGTGTCGACGACAAAGCGAGTATATTCATGTTCTTTTAATGCACAGAGGTCTGTTGTATATTTGAAGTTTTATTTTAAGTTGACGATTGCGAAGGGCAGATTCATCTTCTCTCTTTCATTTGTGTTGCCACTTTATCGTTCATGTTTGTTATAAGTGTCCATGCGGCTTGGTTGTCATCTTTATTCCTGATGTATTTTATTTTACGAACATGCTGGTGATCAATGCAATACACTTTTGGTTAATAATGCTGCTTTAGCTCAGATCCTTTGTGGTATGTCTTGACTGTACTACTGCGATAGCGATTTTTCCTCACCAAAATATGCAGGCAACCAATGTAAATGCTGCCAAAAGTTTGTCATTACGTGATGTATCTAAGAAACATCGAGTTCCTGAACGTGGTCGTGTACTACGTAACCGGAAACTCAATAGGACGCAGAATTCTGTGAAGCAAAACTACAGAAGTGAGGCTGGCCACGCCAAAATCAAGTGAGATATGTCTAGCCTTTCTTCAGCCGCCAAGGCTTCGATAGACTATCCCCGGGTTCGGTGTCTCTCGAACTACGAAGATTCAACGTCGTCCAGCCAATCCTGGTTAAGGTCAGCGGGGATTTAGCTGTGGTTATGGAACAGGATTGGCCGTCCGAGAGACTCCGAACCTGGGGTATGTTGCAGCACAGCTATGTCGACAGAGTGTCGTCGCAAGCTGCACCACTAGACGAGAACAAATAAAACCGTCCCGTCCTAGGCTGACTAGGCTTAGCTAGGTGGCAGCACAGTCGCGCCGGCAGGGGGCAGTGCCACAACCAGCCGACTGATATTTTCGTGTGACGTCAGAACCGGTGCCTCCCTGCGTTATACGTTAGCGACTGGGGCGGTGTTTCACGGGACGCTGCTACCACGCTGCTATCAAATTGCGCGAGCTGACGTCACACTTGCGGTAGTGTTGGAGCAACGGGCCTGTTGATGTTTCCATGGAAACCCAATTTGACACGTGTAAAAGCAGCGTGCTGCTATCACCGGTGAAACAGGGCCCAGGAACCCACCAATAGAAGGGCTACAGTGAAGCAGAAAACATATTCGATAGCTCTTTCAACGCTCTTTCGCTAGATTCGCGTCAGATTTCATCTCAGGTCTATGTTTTGCCCATAGAAGGCAAACAGCGAACTGGACAGATTCTGCCGAAACATTTGCTTTGCAATAACTTTAGATTCCGTGAATTTGTATTGTATTTACATATGTTGTCTTGTCACCACCGTGTTTATCTCTTTTGAGACGCGTCACATGAGTTAAAATTTGACCATTCAGAATTAACGTTAAAACGACCTCAGGTCAACGTTATGTCCTGATCGAAAAAGGACCTCCTGCTGCATATGAATGGATCCGTGTTGTTGAGCTGAACAATGAACACCTTCCAGGTGCTGTCATCGCTCTACCGCGTCTTCGTCAAAAGTTGTAGAAAAAAAAATGCTGGTGGCCCTCGATGGACATTTCCACTAATGACCTTTCGAGTCATCACTCGCCATAAGTTGCACCCTGTCCCTGGCAATGATGAGCTGATTTGTCATGGCTCCAAAGATATTTTGCGTTTCTGACGAACGTTTTCAAAGCAGGAGGCATTCGTGCTTTTTCTAATTTCTCATTATTTTCTCATGATGAGGTCACGTATTTGACCTGCCTCCAGATCATAGATGTAAATCCTCAGAATCATGAATTGCTGACACATATAACCCCATACATTAGGTATACAGTGTACCAAATTTCGAAGTTATGGGAGAAAAGCTACAAGAATGGCGAGAGGGGAAAGTTTGATAGAGGTATACCGTATGTATAACTGAACTTGACATGGCGACCTGGCCTTAAGTGACCAGTGATAATTTTTACGCAAGTGATGTAGGTAGGTATACCTACCTAATAGGTTATACCAAATTTCGCGGCGCTGCGCGCCGATTTGTTACACGCGCACACACACACACATACGCACGCACAAAACTGGGAAGTGTGGCAAAAAATCACCCCTACCCATCGGGTGAAGACTAGAAACCCGACCCCCCACTCAAAATCCGTGGCGACGCCCCTGGCCTTTACTACAATGTATTATGTTAGTTAGCCCTCGCCCGATGAGGGGGGTTGATGCACCCCCCTAAGGTTTTTCACAAATAACGTAAAAACGGTGGCGCTCAAATTTCGCATACCCTCTGGGGCAGCCTTTTGGCACTTGTCCTGAAAATTTCAGGTCTCTAGTCTTTTCAGGTCAGGTCACCAGGTCACAAACCCGGTACAAGGTCAGGGGGAAATTGGACTAACAGTTAAGCGGCAACCGAATGCCAGAGTTTTTCGTTGATAGCGTGAGTTCTATAGCACGTAGCGCTACCAAATTTAAGACACGACTTGGAGCATCTGTTTGTCACTTGGCCTTGGAGTTTTAGGTTCCAGTGACCCGAGGTCAGGTCACAAGGTCACAAAAACTGGTGCATTGTCAAAATAGCAAGAATACCGAATAAGAATACCTACCTACCACGCAGTTTGCAGAGGGCTGTACATGTAACTCTGGAACGAATCCCTCGAGCATTGCTAACCATAAAACATACGACAAACGTTAACTTTGCAAACTATCATCTTATTTCCAATAACGGCACTGCTTATTTCGCCTCACCCCCGCCCCCCCCCCCCGGTAACAGGTTATGAAATTGGTTGAACCCCAAAACAGTGGCTGGATCCACCCTTGGGCAGGGGAGTAGCGAAAACTTTGCCCACCCAGTGAAAAATCCTTAGAGGAGGCCCTGGGTGGCGGACCTTGAGACTGCAATCCCCTGGAGCTTTAAAAAATAGTATTGATTTTGCCATAACACAATGTCATTCATGCACGGTGGCTGTTTCGACCGCTGCTTTTCTGTATCGCAGAGCGGGTGTAGGACGCTCAAGTGCGGGGTAGGAATAAAGGGAGTGGACCGTCGCAAGCTGTCTGAAAGGATCACAACGACACGGGCGTTATCTGTCGCGCCTTGAAGGCTGCAGAAAGGGATTAAGTTCGCTCATGAAGGATTATCTCACGTGCGGCACTCATGAACAATGCACGTTATTGTTTCTGGTGTGACCCAGAGTGAATAAGGGCTCTAAATTTTACCCAATGGTGGATCGAACAGGACTAGCTCGGCGTTTAGTGTTTACCACTAAACCCCTCCGGCAGCTGCGAAATTGACGACAATTTGTCGTTTTCCTCTCAGATGCTTAAGTTTTATACAAACAACATTCGGTGGAAAGGTGGTTTTAGAGGTCGATTCATCTCATTTCATTGTTCCCAACGGGAAGGGAAACGAGATGCGAATAGTTTTATCATTTCATTTATGCATTTTATATGTTATCATTCGAATATTTCAGACATTTCTTGCGGGCATTTGGCCCACAATAACAGAAATGCTATTCATATTTCATAACTACACTCTAAATAATGTCGTATTTAAAATGCAATAACTGCACGTATATTTTAGTAGCCTACACCCAAATCAACAGCAGAAGCAGCTGAGCTGCGACCTTGAGAAACGCGTGCACAAAACAAATGTTCCGAAATGTAAACAGACGAAAGGGAGATCGCTTGGAAGAAGGGATGCGTACTCACTCCTCGTGACAAATTTGAATTTAAGCCTCAAAGAAACTTGCAGGCAACATCGCCTTTCTGGAAAGTGTTGTCAATTGTCGATTTTGTTGACACCGAGCACAAACGTTTCCGCTTGGATGTCAATGTTGAGCGTGCAGCGCCATCATCAATCATAGGGGCTGCGTGCACAGTGAATGCAAATCAAAATGTAGCATTTCAAGACTTATTCGATCAAATTGATCATCAAATTCGACTGAGACATGCAGCGCAACTTCTTCAGCTTGCCTCAGTCGGTATCCGGTTCCAGTTTCTCCGGTCATGGCTCCGCCAGGTCAAGGTAAGAAGACGAGTCACACGTTACAGCGCTGTGCGTTACAGCGCTGATTTTCGAGTACCTATTGTGCAAACAAAATGAGTGGCGTGCTTCTTCGAACAAGTGGACATTTTCATAGCGGCTGCAGTTTATGTTTCATGAGCTTTGCGCTAAGGAATGGCCCCCATTTTCACGATGAATATCAGCAGAGCTGGAGAAGAGCTCTAAAACGATCGGCAATTAGTTTTAGTCCGTTATCGTAACCGATCTGTAATCGTAATCGTTATACGGCGATACCACCGGGACGATCGGCTGGGGGTTGAGTTGGTCTATTGATAGTTTGCGTCTATCGTCTATACCCTATCGTTGGTGTGTGTAGACCGCGATGACCGAGTGATCGCCGCTGCATCCTGTCCCTATTCGCTCGATGTGTCGCTTTCAGAGTCGGAGCGGGGCAGAGCGGCGGCCTGCGGGCCAGGACGGCGCCCCGGAGCGGCGGAAGTGGTCCTAGTGGCGCACAGCGCACCCCGCGGCTGGACCAGCTCGGCCTCTCCTCCATCGTGAGTGACACGATCCGGAGACCGGAGACCCGGGCCCGGAGACCTCTGAACTCAAGCACTCGCTCCGGAGCTCCCACGCTTGGTAGTTCGGCGCGCTGACTTCTGCGACCATCTCAAATCGTCTTCGCTATCTTCCCATTTATCAGGATTAATCAGATAACTTTTGGGACATTTATTTTCCCGGTTCAATAAAACAGCTTATTTCCCCGTACTCCATGCCTCAGCTGCCATCGTGATTACCGTCTACCACTGTGCTGTGGCTGCTGTATGTCTACTACTGTCTACTGTCTGGTGTGCTTTCTATAGACACTGTACCACTGTAATGTATGTACTGTTCACCTCTCCGCTCCCCTTCCCCCAGTCGGCGGGGAGCGGCTCTCTCGGTCGGACCGCCCACCGGTCCTCCTCCGGGTCCTCCACTCCGTGGTCACGGCGCTCCCACACCCCCGGGTCGGAGAGGCGCCGGGCCCACACCACACCGGGGTCTGTGACACCGCGACCCGTGCAGTCCTCTACTGTACTCGGTGAGTTGTCTGCGGGACTCGGGGAGTTTGAGTGGTTGCTCCCGGTGGGTGTAAGAGATGACGTCTGGGGACATCCCACATCCCGGTATATAAACCCACCTGTTAGATTTCCACAACCTTGGCTCGTATAAGAAGGAATGGCATGTGGTATATGACATCCGGGGACCGGGGGTATATGACATCTGATAGTGTAAGGCAGCCATGTCCCCGTTTCATTTTCGTTTTTCGACTGACCTGGGGTCCGATCCGCCGTCCGGTACGGTTAAAGTTTGGTCCGATAGGAGCCCGGTCCATTTTTAGCTTGACCCGCTATCAATCCGGTGACGATCATATCATATCAGATCAAACCTTCTGTTCCTTGTTATATGCGGTTTGCCTATGTTGTGTTTTAAAGGCGTTTATTATGTTGTTACACTTCTTCACCAAACATATTACATTTTGTCGCATGCCTATCACTTCCATGAATTAAACAAACCGACCGTCTGATGTCGTCCTCGCCAGCGCTGGCGGCCGGCCGCGGTCAGGCGACAGGCGCCGTGGGTCTGGCCGCCCTCGACCCCGACTGTCCCCTGCTGGTGCTCTCTCAGCTCAGTGACTCTTACACCTACTCCCGGGTGATCGCCAAGATCCAGGTCATCAACCCGTGCCAGGTACGGCACGCGCGGTCTGCGACAGCTGGCACCTTGACGGGAATGGTGATAGACCTCGATAGTCATTTAGCTCTTGACTTGATACTGATGGATTACAATCGGGACGGGACAATGTGTCAATGTGTCGAGTAGCTATTCGATGTCGTATTACAGTTACGCTTATTTTTATCACGGGCATCTGTGATAATAAACCGACCTCGTGTACCTATCGAAAATGCATGAAACACTGTTCACTGTTGTCCAGATGAATAAGAGAATATTGGTGGAGATCACTCGCTTTGACCTGTTTCCCGAAGAACCACCGAATTCAGCGGGCAACGTTAGCAGGTAACGTACTCGTATTTAACATTAAAAACCTCACTCTGATCCTTGCCGGCAGATCCTGCTACCCAACACACTGTGCGACCCCAGCCAGCCGCTGTACCGGCTGCTCTGCGAACAGTTTGGTGACGTCACTCTGACGTCACTGCCACGTCATCACTTCCAGTCGGAGGCCGGTCAGGAGCGGGTGGCGGGCCTGTGCCTGCCCTCTCTGGCCAGTGTCACCTCTGCGCTGAGAAATATGTTAGTTGGGTGACGGGGCGGGAGCCTCCGGGCCGGGCTGAGCTCTAACATGTCATTGGGTGACGGGGCCCTGTCCTGACTACGTCGCAGATCGTCACTGTTACTGTTGGTTGCAAGTGCCTACCGTCCGCATTTTGCGGTCGCTAACGACATTAGTATCGGTTACCGTAGTTTCAGCGATTACCGTTTATATTTACCATTTACGACAATATCTGTCGTTACAATGCATCGTACTCTCGTAACTCATCTCCCGCTTTGATATCGGCCATCTCATTCGTTGAAGCTTATTGTTCGCTGGAACTTGTCTAAATTGCATGAACAACACATCAAACGAGAAGGCCATTAGCCAAGAAGAACTCGTTTGTCGTAATAACAGCTGAGGCTCACTGTAGCATATGTTGGTTCTTTTGAGTGCATGCTGAGGAATATTTACAACAGTTCTCGTCCTCTCCGGCAGGTACTACTGCGCCACGGCGGCGGCCGCTCTGCTCGTCTACATGGAGTCGGTCAAATCAGTCGTGTTCCGACAGCACACACTCAAAGTCGAGTTCCAGACCGCCGAGGCCACCGTCATGATCAGTGAGCAAAAATAATTACGGACGCTCTGCGCGCTTTTCTTGCTCGTTGTTAGATAAAATGCTCACTTGAACTTCGTCTGCTGAATAAAGTCCTCTAGTTGGGTATCTTCAACTGGGCTGCGTCGGGGTGCCGGCTTTCGAAATCGTGGTGTAGAAATGCGTTGTATGCTTACATCTTCTGAATAAATCGTCCAAGAAGCATGCATTTAAAATCGAACACCATAAATTCGATGTGCGATTTGCGACAAACATGCATTTCTCGGGAGACCGTTCTTCCCCATACAATGAAACGAGCCCCCGACTGGAGCTAGTGCACCCACTTGGAACCCCTTCTCCTCTATCAGGAGAATCCTTCCCCGATTCACAGACAGTGAGACCTGCCGCCGTCTGGAGCTCGTACAGCCGCAGCCCGGGGGACGACCCGAGCAGACGGTGTTCGCCGTTATCAAACGGACTCAGACCCCCGGCGGGTCGCGCCGGCTCAGAGCTGAGCTGCTGCAGCCCTCCGTCAGCCTGAGCTCCATCAGGTGAGTTACTACACCAACCACTCGACCACCAGGTCAGTCTCAGTCAGCTGAGATCCATCAGGTCAGCCTGAACTCTATCAGCTCAGTTACTATTGTTCCGTCAGTTCTGACTGAGACTGAGTTTCAGTTAGAATGACTGTGAAAAGGGGTAAGTGCTTAAGGCGGTCGCAGATATGGTGGAGAACTACCGCTCTACGTCGCACGGCATATCGGGTCGATCCTTCATATCGCTGTTGCCTGTGGTGATCACAGGTTACATGTTTGTCAGTCCTGTAATTACCTGTGACCCGAGACCTGGTGACCTTTGACCTGACCTCTGGTTACCTCTGACCCATCCTCGGTCCGCCAGGACCCGTCAGGAGTGTGTTCAGGAGCTGGTAGACAGCCCCGACCTGCTCTACCTGCTGAGGGCCGTCATCGGACGCTTCCAGGACATCGAGAAAATACACTCCTTCTGCATTCAGCAGCACGACTGGGTGAGATAATACGACGTGGATGTAGTCCTCTTTTATCATCGGCATCCCGGTGTACTTGCTGCTTATCCTTTTATTCCTGTCATTCTCATAAGGCAACAACAAGGTTTTTCATGCACAGTGAACCAACTCCTTTGTGAATCGTTATGTTGCGTCGGTTGTACATATATAGCATAGGTACCTGCCCGGTGTGACTGTGCCTTATCAAATATCTCACTGTCCCGTCTTCTGCCGCCTCTGTGCTAAGGCCCTGACCTCTTCACCCCGCACATCGCCAGGACACGGAGCGAAACGTGGAGCACCGGCTGAACCACATCATTTCACTGAAGGCTTCCCTGGAGTGTGTGGAGGCGCTGAGAGAGGCGCTGGCGCCCGCGCAGCATCCGTTCCTCGTGTCAATGAGAGAGGTGAGGAGAGAGAGAGAGGGGAAAGAGGGAGGGAGAGAGAGAGAGAAAGAGAGAGAGAGAGAGAGAGAGAGAGAGAGAGAGAGAGAGAGAGAGAGAGAGAGAGAGAGAGAGAGAGAGAGCTGCCGAGATCGGTACTGTTGTGACGGTCATCTGTGTTTCTATTTTGGGTCTAAATGTCGATATTTTTCTTTCTTCTTGCTGGGATTTAACTGTTCCGACTACGGGCCAAGTCATTGGATATCCTCCTCCCCCCGGTGTAGTGACTACAGGAGACAATGGTCGAGTCCCTGCAGACCAGTATGTAGTATCGGCGGAGTCCCGGCTGACTCCCTTCTTGTCACAGTGCCTACAGGAGCCAGTAACTAGTCGAGTCCCTGCTAACCATTAGTATCCTGTCCCCGGTGTAGTGCCTACAGGAGCCAGTAGTCGAATCCCTGCTAACCAGTAGTACCCTGTCCCCGGTGTAGTGCCTCCAGGAGCCGGTAGTCGAGCCCCCTGCTAACCATTAGTATCCTGTCCCCGGTGTAGTGCCTACAGGAGCCAGTAGTCGAATCCCTGCTAACCAGTAGTACCCTGTCCCCGGTGTAGTGTCTACAGGAGCCGATAGTCGAGCCCCCTGCTAACCAGTAGTACCCTGTCCCGGTGTAGTGTCTCCAGGAGCCGGTAGTCGAGTCCCTACTGCTGCTTCTCCGCGCCGTTGACTCTCCCGTGTATGCAGTGTTTTGCGGAGCCGATGGCGGAATCGCTGCTGTTGCGGCTGCGGCTGACCAGTAGATGATCCCCCCCCCCCCTCCCTCCCGTTGTAGTGTCTCCAGGAACCAGTAGTCGAATCCCTGCTGCTGCGTCTCCGCGCGGTGGTCCACGATGACGTCCAGCCGTGCCGCGGAGGTATAGAGCAGCGCGTGCAGCGCTGCTACGCCATCAAATCGGGTATCAACGGCATGCTGGACGTGGCCAGACGACTCTACTCCGAGGCATACGACGAGTTCGTCTGTGAGTTCGCACTCGCGGCTGATGGCTGCAGTACAGACCTGTCGACAGGAATGAGAATGCTTTTGTGTTTTTCTGTTATCTGCGAAGTCGTGTCACTTTTTTTGTTGAAGTGCGAAAATTATACACAATTATAGCAAAGCATCGCAGTATTTTTGACTTATCGAAGTTTTACCCGAATCAATAATCGTTTACTGCACTGATGTAAAGCTTTTTGTGACGTGCATCTCGAGGGGCACCTGTCCGACTAGGCTGAGTATAAGTAAAGTAATCTTGAGGCTGAGTGCCATCAAAAGTCGGGAGTCGGGACTAGTTATTTCGATCGACGTCCTATAGACAGAGATGGTATCTTTTTTCTTAACCTCCCGACGAGTAAACCTAAGGCTTTCCTCGGATGGAACGGTAGGGCATATCGTCCATTCCGAGCCCTGACTCCCGGTACCTGCGTGTCTCAGGCTACGTGCAGCAGCTGGGCGAGCAGCACCGCCTGGCTCTGAAGCCGGGCTACAACACCAGCCGGGGCTTCCACGCCATACTGGCGCTGGGACGGCGCGGCAGCCGGCCGCCGGCGCTGCCAGAAGAGTTTATACAGGTGGGCATCTTGAATCGTTATGCGGCTGAGTTACATGATTTGCATGTACAGATGTAGATTATAAGTGTATGTTCGTGGTCGTCTGTGCTAATTATGATTGTTTCGGACTGTCTAAGGCTGTTGCGTCACTGGGAGAGTTTATGCAGAACGAGGTGGAGAAGAGGCTGCTTTAAATATAGCCGCGAGGCGGCTAATATGATAGGTGGGGACGAACTGCCTCAGCGGTTTATTTGAAAGTCCCGTCGTATAATTATGGATGTTGTAACTCAAAGATGCTTATAAATTTAGTGGCAGAGCTGCATGACCGTGACAATAACAAAAAATGACCGATGATGACTCGTAGCAGTGAGATGATTATATGACTGGATACGTTTTAGGACGTGTGACCGCCGTCCCCCTCAGGTTCAGCACAACCAGTCCACGCTGACCTGCACCACAGAGGTGATGGTACAGATGAGCCAGAGAGCAGACGCCTCCGTACTGGAGATCGGACAGCTGAGCAACATCGTGGTGTGCGAGCTACTCAACGAGCTGCAGAGTGACCTGTGCTTCCTCTATCAGTTGGCAGAGGTCAGTCGACTCTTGACCCGGGGAGGGAGAGGGAGAGAGACAGATGTGCTAGAGACCCCAGGCCTGTCAAGATTCCTCCCTCTCTATCCTTTTTATTATCCTGGCCTGGAAGCAGCAACGGCCGTTTTTCTTGGCCCGAGTTAATCACCAGGCTGTCATGAACTGATGTCACTAAGCTGTCTGAATCATCTCCACAACGGACCTGCTGGTGTTTGACCTGACCTGACCTGATCTCCCCAGATAGTCTCCACCACCGACCTGCTCGTCTCCCTGGCCGACCTAGCCGCTGCCCAGGATCTGAAGAGGCCTGAGTTCGGGGGCCGGCTGACGATCCGCGGCGGTTGGCACCCGCTGCTGGCGGCGACTACCACTGTGCCGCTACAGCCGTCAGACCTGGTACGGAGGATAATGGGGGAACATTGACACAGGGGGAGGGAATATCATCACTGGGGAGGGGTAGTGCCACCAACGTGCCGCTTCCGCCGTCAGATCTGGTACGGGAAGGAGGTAACGGGAGAATAAGCACTGCTGGGGTAAAGGCAGTGCCACTACTGTGCCGCTAACGAGTACAGTCGCCATACCTGGTACGGAAGGGGAACCGGTGCCAAGCAAACCCTAGCCTGAGCTATAGGGGAAGATCGTCAAAGAACAGAGGACAGTAGACGCAGCAAAGTATGCTTTCTGCATTCATCTGCCGCAAAGCCCGAAATGCGATTTTTTTTTCTTTTTCGGATCGGGTGGCAGTTTTACATTACATGAACGAGTTGTCCAGCAACATAGGAGGGGAGACCGACAGTCATTTCTTACTTATCACAGCCACTGTGTTTATATTCACACAGGACGTCCTGGAGCCGGAGTGTCATTAAACACTCATCAGTGATTTTACCTCAGACATTGGGTATTACTCTTCACGCCGGATCTGTAGCCGGAGTGTTGTTTTACGCTTACACAAATAGCGTGTTGGATCTTCACCCAGGACGTGGAGCCGGAGTGTCGCCTGGCCGTCATCACCGGCGGTAATATGAGCGGCAAGAGCACGCTGCTTAAACTGGTGGCCGTCACACAGATCCTGGCGCAGGTCAGTGTCGAGCTCGATGCAATACAGGATATGTCGTATGTACGGGATAGTCACGTGCCTGTATTGTATTCATAGGACACGCAAGGTTGTAGAGAGAATATTTAGTACGGTAAACATAAATCATTTAGTAACATACGGAATGCGAATGCGATAGGAGGATTCTTTGGTAAGCAATAACCGGTAAAAAGGCATGCGCTAGTGTTACTGGAGCGCCTGAGTGCCTACTGTACCGCACTTCGCTACCCTGGTGGCATTAGCACATCCGGGTGCCGACAGGTGACGCTAGCGTCGAGCGCCTGAATATCCGCTGTGCCGCATGGCACTTGTGGAATTAGTATAGCTGCCGCTAGATGGCACTGGTGTCGAACGCCTGAATGCATGCTGTACCGGACTACACTACCACACTGGTGGCATTAGTACGGCCAGCTGCCGATAGATGGCACTAGTTTTGGGCACCTGAATGTATGCTGTACCGGACTACACTACCACACTGGTGGCATTAGTACATCCAGCTGCCGATAGATGACACCCGGCGTCGAACGCCTGAATGTATGCTGTACCGCAAGGCGTAAAACCGATAGCGGCCGATCGGACGCTGCGACTGACAGCGGCCCATACCAGCCGCTCAGCTACCGGACCGGGTGAAGTAAAACGGCTCGAATCAACACACATCAGTGACGTAAAATCACAGCATGAAGCATGTAGTCACTTACAAGAGGAATGGTGGATATTTAGGTATTTCATAGAAACGTATAGTTTTAGGGGCTGTGACACTCGGCGTATCGCCTGCAGCTGGGCTCGTTCGTGCCGGCCGACAGCGCCACGCTGCCGATCGTGGACCAAATCTTCTGTCGGAGTGGCTGTGAGGACCGCACAGAGAAACAGGCCTCCTCATTCATGGCAGAGGTGAGCTGTTCTGGCAGGGGAGACAGAGCTGTGACGCTCTATAATCAGACTCATTGTGGTTTCCAATCAAATTTACCTAAAAAGAATGAACAGCACACTGATGTGTGCGCTACTACCATGTTGTAACGAACTCTCCACTTCCCGACCGCCCCTTCCCTGACCGGCGGCTGTACTGCTGTCTGCCCTTTGTGGCCACTGGCCAAGATGTGGAGCTTTCCTACGTTCTCCGATCGGTATTTGGCCGCTGACCATTGAATTCTTATCGTTGTAAGTATGTAATCGTCTGACTCTTCTGCTGAGCACTGACTGTTTCCATGTTTTATTGCCAAGATTGCTATTTTATCAGCGCTCTTCTCCCTGTGCTCCGTCCTCGTCCTCTGATACGATTGACTACTGTTTGATCACGCCTGTCTATGTCCGTCAGATGTGGGAGGTGTCTGGCGTGCTGCAGCAGGCCACCGCCCGCTCGCTGGTCCTGCTGGACGAGCCGGGCCGCTCCACCGCCGCCGAGGAGGGCGCTGCGCTGACCTGGGCGGTGTGTGAACACCTCCTGCGCCGCAGGTGCCGCACACTGGCCGCCACACACCACCAGCAGTGTAGCGGGATAGCGGATATGTATCAGAATATGGCCGCCAAGTGAGTGTTTGATAGCGGGACGGGCGTAGCGGGTCACATCCGCAGGCGATGCGAGTCAGACTAGAGTAGGATTTTATTGGGCAATGGTATTTGAGTGGGTATTGCAGCCTGTATCACTAACTTTTGGCAATAATTGAGTGTTGTTTATGCTGGCGGCAACTCAGACTCTGTCTTATTTCGCAATGGTACAGCTAAAATATTACGCAGAATCCAAAGTCAACTGTTCTATCTCGCTGTATCCAAGCGAATAGTAAAAGCCTCAGTCCTCCCTGTCTGCGAGTGTCCACCTTGATGTGATACTACTATGCATCTCCCTCCCGTCTCTCAGTTTCCACCTGGGCGCCTGCGACGGTGACCCGGTGGACACCGGTGACCAGCGGGCGGCGGCCGGAGCGGCCCACCGGGTGTTCGCGGGCCGTCTGCGCCGCACTGGGTACGGCCTGGAGCTGGCGGCCACCACCAGCCTGCCCCCGGCGCTGCTGGAGCACGCCAAACAGCTGCTCGAGACGGTGCTGAGGCCGCCGGTCAGTCGGGAGTGGGGTTTGAAGGAGAGTCAGTCTGATAGGAGAGGTAGAGCGGCGGGCAGCCTGAGTTCGAGGGGTGATATGGTGGGATTGTGGGACCGAGGTGGTCAGCGTGTGGATGGTTGGAGAAGACGGATGGATGAATGGACATTGGTGTCCATGTGCGACATGTGATATGATTTACAGCTTCTTTGTGATCTGCACTTTGGCCTGTTACTCCGGGCTTAACCCGTCGTCTCGGACATGGTCTGACCCATAACTTCTGCTGTTATTCGTACCCTCCTGCTCTGGCTCATGACTAATGTGACCTGGATATGACCTCTATGACCCCTACCCTAACCCCCGACTCCCCTCCCTCACAGAGACCGCTGCGCGTGTCCGACCGCCGTCAGCAGGAGCGTCAGGTGTGCGCGCTGGCTGCCAAACTGGCGCAGCTGGCGGACGGCGCCAGCCGGCCGACCGACGAGCTGCGCCAGGAGCTGCGCCAGCTGCGTCAGCAGTTCGTCGCCAGTCAGCTGGAGGGGGCTAGGGAGGAGGGAGAGGACGGGATGGAGGGGAGAGGGGAGGTGGGAGAGCAGAGGGAGGGAGAGATGGTGTGCTGAGTGATGATCGGCTGTGATCGAGAAGGGCTGTGTTGTTTAGTGATCTTTCGTGTTGCGATGTTTCGTGCAATATTGGCTGTGTGTCTCTGTCGTTGGGCGGAGGTAATAGTTCATGTGTTTTGCTGTATATGTCAAGTGGAAATGCGTTGTAGTTCTTTCGCTTGTAAGCTTTCCGCTGATGTGAAGTTTTGCGGGACTACTGACATTTAATTGTTATTTGTTAACGCTATTTTGCGTAGAGTTTAATGGTTCAGCGTGTTTGTTGTTGCCTTGACTTGGACTTGACTTCTGCAAGATCTCTATCGATGCGTGAGTACGTCGATTAGGTGTGTTTCATAGTGGTCTTACGGTAAGATATATGCCGTTTCTTATTTATCAGCGATACCTGATTTATGCCAAGCATATGGGAATCCCCGGGAATGCGCGTACCTTTATTGACCCTGTGTCAGATAAATGTATTCTAGAAAAGGATAATTGAATTGTTCGTAGAGTGTCTCTCGATAACCAGTTGCATCACTTACTAGAAAATTAGGTAAAAAAGAAAATAGGTCAGCTTCAGGTCTAAACTTCATTCGAACCAGTAGGTAGCGCGCATATGCATTTTAAATAACCCTTGTCACGGTTGCAGGTACCCATTGGAGTGCATCACGTGTTTATTTGCGAAATATCGAGCGTGTGTCAGCGGGGAAACGTCCTCTATAATAATCTCCCACGTAATTTGCGCACCAACTCCGTGCTTCCGTGCACCGTCATTGGGTTTGACCCGTGTCAAGACCTCTCATCTTCCAGGCTGCAGCTACGAATCATCGTCGTGCCTGCGCCTGTCATCGAACCGATATTTTGAACTACCATTATTCTTGGCCTAGCCATTATTCTTGATCTTGGCACTAAGTGTTTTCACTATAAAATTATTACAAAATAATGATGCTTGATATATCTTAAAATATTCGAGATAACCGTTCAGCAGGCTACGTAATATCATATTTTACCAATATTTGCAAGCAGTCCAGCAAGCCTGTGTCTATCGTTTGGCTGTTATAGAATCATCATGGCTGCCACGGTCTCCGCCGCCAACCGCGGGCGCTTCCAGCCCGCGTTTCCCCGCTCCCACGCAATCCACGAGAGTCAGAAGGCGGCTCGCTACTCTGCCCGCAAACGGGGCGTCAACTCCGGCCGGCCGATGGAGTACATTGACCCGGGCCGGGCTGAACTCCGCAGCGTACTGGTACGGACCAATGCCGCCATGCATCGCACCAAGTCTGGACAAAACTACGAGAAGGCGGTACGAGTGGTGAACGCGGAGTACTGGAAGCCGCCCAAACCGATACCCGGAGAGTGGTTTCCCAACGTCGGGCAGGTGTTTGACCTGAGGAAGGGAGATGTGGATGCGACGAAAGTGGATCATTTGTGTGAGATCTTGGAGCATATGCCGTTTCTGTTCAAGGCGATTGACAGAATCAAGATAAGTTGGTTGAGGAATAACTACCCGCTGCCTCTGAGAATAGTGCGGGCTCTCGATCGCGATGACTTTGAGCTGATCAGTTCCAACTTCCCTGGACCGATTGGCGATGTCAACAGGTTAGTAAACACCTGGTAATTTATCATTGCTCGAATATTCATCTTCCATATGTTTGATAACACCATTTAAGTTCACTAATAGGTGCATACTAAGTATCACATGCAAAGTTTTCATTCAGATAAAGAGCCGTTCGCGCCCCTTGTACGCTACAACACACTGATACGGCGCGAGACCGTTTCCCACTTATGGACCATGCCTGTTATCTCCACGGACCATAGCCTAACCTGTCGTGCATGTCGCTTGCGCCACCATATACTGACCAATGATTGGTGTTTACCCTGACCACTTTTGTTTCCACCAGGTACCCGGGGGCCATGTGGACCATGTCTACGGACGGAGCCAAGTCCACACCGAAGCGGACTCAACAGATGCGTCGAGACACGGTCACTCGATACAGTCGACCCTTTGACAGTGAGTGTGCTTCCAGCTTACACACTACGATAAAAAAAAATAAGATAGAGATAGAGATCTAGGGGATATGGTAGAAATCATAAACGCGATACTCATGGGCAATTCCGGTTGAGCTTCACTAACAAAGCATGGCCCAATGCATGACTCACTGATGGGATTCAAGTATAACTATTCCGCCTGTGCATTGAGATGTTGAAGATTTCAGGAAAGTGTCAGAGGAGAGGAATGTCAATGTTTTTCATGTTTTGTGCCGAAACCGCCCGTTAACCGTTTTCTTATATCAATGAGACTGTGTTTAAGATTTTCACCAGTTCATCCTGAACCCTTATGATTCCCCATCCATGATCCCGCCGGCAGAAACGGCATTGGCCGCCGACCCCAGCGCCGTACCCAAGACGGTCGTCCCCCACCGACGCGACTGGAACCGACTGGTACACCGCTACCTGGACGACTGTGTGTCCTCTATGCGGCCGAGCGGAGCTCAGCAGGGCCCACCGCGCGCTGATAGAGCCTCCTTTGGTGTTGGTGGAGAGAGACATAGTGTGGTGGGAGGGAGGAGACAGTCGGCTCTGGACTTGGAACATGGTGAGAGGGAGGGAGGGAGGGAGGGAGAGAGAGAGAGAGAGAGAGAGAGAGAGAGAGAGAGAGAGAGAGAGAGAGAGAGAGAGAGAGAGAGAGAGAGAGAGAGAGAGAGAGAGAGAGAGAGAGAGTCGGTACATCATAAAAATAAGGGAAATCATTTGGCTCAAGAGTGGGAATATGGTGAGAAATTGCGTCAATTCGCGGTAAACTCGGTACCTAAAGGTAATTGTTGAGTATTACGGTCACCGACGGTTATTCAAATGACACTGTTCAGTGGCATGACGGTGCCGTTTTTATAGCAGTGCCACCCTATCGTCAAGCAGTTCTCTGACACCGACAGTGTCCCACCCACCGTAAGTCCGTCTCACCTACCCTTCCCGTTCCGTCAACAGCGTCCGCGGCGGGCGACATGACCGGCTGGCCTTCCGTGCGGATGGAGCGACCGGTCTCGCGGCTCATGGAGCCACTCTATCCTCCCTGGCAGCTGGTTCAGGAAGCTGAGGAGAGCGACAGGCGCGTCTCCAACCTGAGCACAGTGTCGGCAGAGGACGCCAAGCTCATCATGAAGCGGTGCAGGCAGCTGAAGAACAGGACACTGGCAATGATGGATCAGCACTACAAGGCAAAGGTAGGGGAGACGTCAAAAGTAAAGGCGATATCAAGGCAGTGGATCGACGTTTGAGAGGAAATTCATGGCAATATTTTACTCAATGACATGTCATGATGGCATTTAGAGTTCGGCTCAATATCAGGCCGGCCTATAAAATATACCTACCGGAGTGCTTAGCACGGTTATAATCAGGGATGCGGAGCCGGAGCCGGAGCCGGAGCCGGAGCCGCCGGAGCCGGCATATTTTGCCCGGAGCCGGAGCCGGAGCCGGAGCCGTGAAACAATATAGCCCGGAGCCGGAGCCGGAGCCGGAGCCGTCAAAAATGGGGCGACTCCGGCTCCTTTTCTTAAGAGGAAACAATTATTTACCTAGTTCGGTTTGACAGTACAAGGCGTAAAACAATGTGGTATTCAAAATAGCCTTGTTATACAAATACAGAAGCAACGTGTACCAATCCGGCCCATCGCCTTTTTTCTTCCACCCGTATTTAATTGATCGCATAGGGGATGTACTGAGTAGAAGCCGGAGCCGGAGCCGCCGGAGCCGGATCATTTTACTCGGAGCCGGAGCCGGAGCCGGAGCCGCAATGACATTTCACCCGGAGCCGGAGCCGGAGCCGGAGCCGATTTTTTTTCTCCGGAGCCGGAGCCGGAGCCGGAGCCGTCTGAAATTTCCACGGCTCCGCATCCCTGGTTATAATGTAAATCGAGTCACTCATTTCTCGAATCGGTGAATATGGAAACGTAACTACCACTTAACGAACTATGGGTCTTGCTTGCCATAGTTACATACGGGTTGCGTGCTATCTCCCATAAACCATTCACTCTTTTCCCTTCTAATCAGTCTCTCCCCGAACCCCGCAAACAGATTCACAAGCTGGAGGACAACCGTGAGCAGCGTTACCGCCGCAAGGTGTCCTACCTGGTGCCCCCGTACCGGACCGCGGGCGCGGACATGCCGGCGATCCGGCGGCGGGTACAGCGGCGCAGTCGCCTGGAGGATGTGACGCTGCGCAGCGCCGCCTGGTACGGACGACTGCTGCAGCTGTGTGCCGCCGTGGGAGCCGCCGATATGCCGGTGGGTACCAGCGGGGTACCGGTGGGTGATGGTGGTACGGAGGTGGCAAATGTGTACCTGGTACCGGTACCCGATGTGCCGGTGGCAGCGGCATGCGTACCGCCTACCGGTACCGTGCATATGGCAAACGGGTGTACCAAGTGGGTACCCTCGAATGTATCAATAGCCCGGGGACCCACTCTGATGTATCCGGGTCGATCCCAGCGATCTTCTTATGTGCCTACTTCCAGTAGTGTCCGATATCAGATATGCTTCTATGTTCCATTAGGAGCATAGTTTACCAATCACCCCTCTCCCTGACCCCGTCTCCTCATCTCTGCACCTCGGGTAACCTCCCCACTGACGTTCCAGCGCTGTCAGGAGCTGCTGGATCAGCTGCTACCGTTCAGCCGCCGGGACGGCTCGCAGATCAGCCGCGGCAGCGAGAAGCTCTGCCTGCTGCTCATGTCCGTGCCGTACTATGATGCGCTACAGCAGGGGCTGCAGATGGCCATACTGTTTGTACACGTGCACTTCCTGCGGGGAAGTGAGAATGTGTTCAGGTGAGCAGGGTAATAATCGGGGAGGGGGCATAGTGCAGATATGAGGGGGAGAAATGCCTTCGAATGGGGCGGAAGTGATCATAGCGGTAAAATGGGAGATGGTAGCGAATAGACAATGGAGAAAAGGAAGGCCGCTGATAGATGGGAAAGAGGGTAGGATGGAGGGAAAATCAGGCGTGAGGCGACTCTCATCAGGTGGGCTATTAGCGAAAGGAGGAAGTATAGGCTACTGAGAGGTGATAGGGACAACCCCATCAAGGACTGGAATAAGTCGTCGTCTTCTCACTCCATCTATGTTGTGTTTTCCTGTCCAGACGATGGCTGGAGGCGCGGAGTCTAGCCGACGCCACCAAGAGCAGCCCACTGCTGGCGCTGGTCCGCGGGGAGCTGGCGCCCGACCACGACAGCTCCTCCAGCTCCAGCTCCAGCTCCAGCTCCGACGACGAGAGCGTGTCGTGACCGAGCTGAGTAACCGACCCCGGTGACGGCTGAGGGTCAGTGGGGTCAGCCGGCGCGCTCCTACGACGACGAGAGTGTCTCCCGATGATAGGGGGGTTAGTGGCGCCAGCCTGCGAGACTGCGAAGCTAAGGACTGTACGATGCGATACGTATCCAGAATTGCTCACCTCACGTACGGGTAGGAGAGACGGATATAGACGGTCAGGCTGAGACGAATCGCATCCGGAGCTTTATGCATGGGGACAGATATATGACCAACGACAGTATTTTGGCGACTTCCTTGATTTTCGTGCCTGCCTCCATGCACTTATTCATTGATCAGGTATACAGTGGCTCCAAAAATGGTTCGAAAACGTACACTAATTTACAACGCTGCAGACGTTCATATTACATAGGTTCTTGGTTCTCCTTTCACGTAAGCTGGACTTGGAAACTGATCAAGAAAACACTTACGATAAACGAACGATAATGAACGACAACGGCAACGGACGAACGACAACGAACGACCCCTATCGTAAAATACGATCGCAAAATAAGGGTCGTAATGCTTTGAGCATCCTGAAAGTGTCGCTTGATAGGCCTTACAACATGCCCGCACATGTGAGACTTTTTTGTTTGTGAACTGTATTTGCTGGTATGACATGCTGTGCTATGATTACATGCTATTGAGATTGAGATATACGTGTTTGTGCGCCATGTATGATTCGACGTAGGCGTAAATAAAACGTTTTTACTGTGTAGCACGTAAGTAGCCAAAATAACGTCCAACCTCAGGAGTATCTTCCGAACAGTGTCCTCTAACTCAAGGACATACCCGTTCTCGCTCTGGATCACGACCTGTTCCGGACTGCCGATCACTCCACATGGAAAACCAAGGACGGTGGAAGCCAGCGTCATTCGAAGCATATCCTTCCGTTGCTCAGTAGCGTAGACGAACCAGCCCGTGTTGACTCAGCCAAAGGTATTAACCAGTAAAACGCCTTTTGGGCGAAGAACGAGCGAGCGAGATAGTGAGCCCTGCACGTGCGGAAGGGCGAGAGGGTACTTCCAACGGACCTGCGCAAAGCACCCTTCTAACCGGTCGATAGCCGTGTGCCAAATTTGAACGCAATCGGCCCAGCCATTCCTGAGATCTGGAAGCGGCATTCTGCACGTGCGCACGTGCAAACGGGGTCCAAACTGACTTTTGCACGGCACCCTACTAACTGGTCCCCAACCGTGTACCAAATTTGAGTGCAATCGGCCCAGCCGTTCTCGAGATCTGGAAGCGCCCCCTGCACGTGCGCACGTGCAATAGCACCTTAACCGCAACACATGGGAATGCATTGCCTGGTGGGTGCCTACCTGCCTGTATGCCAAGTTTCAGCGAAATCGCCCCTGTAATTAACGAGTTATTAAAATGGGAACAAATTTGACACCTCTTATTGTTGTATTTTGCACGTGCACTGGGGGTGACCCACATGCATCGAGAGTATCCTATTTTTGGTAGAAGGGATGCTGCTACCCTACAAAAATTACCGCAAGTCAATCGCCCAAGCGGCTGCTGAGATATGAGCCTCTCAAAATCACTACTTTTGCAAAACAGCTTGAACACCCTTGACTTTTCACGTGGCACGTGCCACGACGGTCACTGAGGTGTATCAAAAGTAGTCAATTACGGGGTAGAAGGGATGGGGCTACCCAGCAAAAAAGACCGCAGGCCAGTCGGTCCAGCGGTTGCTGAGATATAAGCCTCTCAAAAGCGTTACAGGCCGGGCCGGGCCGGGCCGCTCATACTGAGATTTTTTCGTTATATTGAAAAGACTCGCTTCGCTCGCTGCGCTCGCTCGCTCGTAATTACATCCCCGGCCTCTTTTCCCTCATCCCAACCCAAAACCATGAAATCCGCGGTTGACAAGGAGGGTCGCCGGACGCATTCTGCCCTTCCTTCAACGCTGTTCCGAGCCGCTGCTCTCGGCTTGAAGCCTTGCGGCACAGCATGCAATCAGGCGCTCTACGCTAGTGTCATCTATCGGCAACAGACATAACCACACCACCGGTGATATTGTAGAGCGGTACAGTATACACTACCACTACATCCAGGCGCTCGATACTAGTGCCATCTATCGGCAGTTAGAATTACTAACACCGCACGAGCAATGCGGAACAGCATACATTCAGGCGTAATGCATTAGCGCATTACGCCCCTCGCCAGCTATTGGCACCTGGACGCACTAATATCGGTCGCACAGCGGAGATGCGCGCAGGCGTTCTTCATACTGTATCCGTGCTGACCTGTGCTGAATGTTTTCCAATGAGATTTGTGTGATGATGCTGACATTGATGCTAAGAAGTTGATGCAAAATGTATTCAGCCTGGACAGATAAATCGTCACGACTAGGAGAACTCAGTCCGGAAAATTTTCCTCTATCCCTTGACACTGATACAAGTCGATAAATAAATAAATGCTGAACAAAACTAAATGGCGTCAACAAATGGAATGTTCATACAAGTCATATGTATATTCAAAGCCACTTTCTGATGACATCGCGAGGAAGTACATGACCGAGCTAGAAACATCACCGAGCTACAACATGACCAAGCTAAGACCGAGCATGACCGTCAAGCTATAACACATGATGAGCTAGGAAAGCACATGCTACACAGCCTCGGTTTTCAACCGCTTCTCATCTGCACCCTCCTCCAGATCCGTTGACCTTTTCTGACCCCGATCGGACTGATCCCCAGACTGTTTCTCGTCGTCCGCCTTCTTTCCATCCGCCTTCTCGGCGTCTCCCTCTGCCTTCCGTCCTTTGTTGGACGGGTTTCGAGCCTGCTGGATCTCAGCACTGTAAGCAGCGTTCAGTTTCATCTGGGCAACCAGGCTGGAGTCTGTACCGGTGATCTCCCGCACTGCCATTGTCGCGTAGCTGGACGGCGGCAGAGAGAACTGCATGATGAGCGCTCGGAACGGCGCGTCCGGCTCGTCGGCCGGTTCCGCCGCTCCCCGAAGACGATCGACGTCGCTCAGCAGTAGGTCTGAGTTGGGGTTAGAGTAGCGCAGCACGCGCCAGGAGACATCACCCGGCCGGGCCAGAACGTGCCGGTAGGCGCCAGCCAGGCTGTACTGGGGCATAGTGTCACAGAGCTTCTGTGTGAGCTCCACCCCGTCCTGAGAGAGCATCTCTTTGTACCAGGACGAGAGCTCGTTCTCTGGATGGCGCACCGCCCAGCCAGGCAGAGGCATCACTAGATCATAGATCGAGTGCGCGTCCAGCTCGGCCTCTGTGAGCGCGTGCACCTCAGGCAGTCGCGGTCCGCCGCTGCTGGTCGGTGCGGTGGGTTCTACCTCAGCGACTGTCTCCAGTTCAGCGGCCGGTTCCATGTCCGTGGCTGACTCCTCGGCAGTGGACTGGTCACCGGCCAGCACCAGATCTCCGGGCCGCAGCTTCAGGCCGTGCTCGGCCAGTCGGCGCGATACCAGCCGGTTCCACACCCACGACTGGTAGGCGTGCACGTAGAGCTGCCGGGTGCCCGACGGGAGTCGGTCGAGCGCCTCTTGATACGCGGTGGTACGGATGGTGCTCAGCGTGTGCAGCACCCGTCCCTCGATCGTCGTCCTTTGCTGGCGGCCGGTGAGGCAGGACAGAGCCCTCTGCGGGTCGCGGTCGGCCCGCCAGGCGCGGTGCGCGTCCGCCATACTCCCCATCTCGCTCTCACGGCCCGAGAGAAGCAGATCGACGGCGACCCGCCACTCGCGTCGCAGGATCGCACGGCCCACCTCATGAGTCCCCGAGCTGGTGGTGCCGAAACGCTGCATGCCGTAGTAGTTGACAAAGCCCACCGACTGGAACGAGGTCATCCTGCGAGCGATCACGTCCTCATTTCCTTGCACGTGGCGCAGCACCAGATCAAACCGATTGCCCTTGAGGTCACCCAGCTTGAGCTCGCGGTCCTTGTAGGCAAAGTTTCCAACTATGATCTTCTGGAATTTCTTGGCTGCCTCATGCACCTGTTCTGCTGAAATCTGCTTGATGGAGACCATCTGAGATGTTTTTGCTCTGGCGTCTTTGGTGCCAGCAAATGCAAACTTGTTGGACTTGGTTTTCAGATCCATGCTCAGGTTGCTCAAAGCCACAAATGTGTCAAGATTCTCTTTAAACATGCAGAAGTGGAGGAACTTTGGCCTGCCCTGAGGCCAGGGCTTGTGCTTCCAGAATGTGTTCCTTTTGTCGGGAGCAGCGCTTGCCTTCCTCACTGAGATCACCTTCTCGCCATCAGCCTCAGCAGTGTTGGTGACCATCCCAGGGAAAGATGATTTGATGGTTTCATGAAACTGGGTCCTCTGCTCCTTGGTGAGCTGCCCGGCTGGGATATTGACCACCTCCCCACTTTTCTCCATGGCACTGAGATCAGTGAGCTTGTTCCAGCTGTCCTCTGGAAACCAGGCAGGCCTAACTGCATCTCCCTTTGCCTTCTGCTGCTGCACTGGAACAGCTGTGTCTGTCAGTGTCACTACCTCCCCAGCAAGGTCAATTTCATGTACAATGAAGTCACCCCATCGGTGCTTTGTAATCCCTGTGAAACCCTCTGAAGAATCGATAAAATGGCTTATTCCAACTTCTGCTTCAGTTCTTCCATTGCACTTCTGTTCACTTTCCTTTTTCTGCTGACTCTTGTCATCAGTGTTCTTTACCTCACGAAACTGTTTCATGCTTTGGAGAACTTTGGACTTTGTTTCTGACTTCACTTTTTCCTCATTTGTTATGGGCTCAGCTTTTATGGAGCTCCCGCCATTCTGTTCCATTTTGATGCCACAGCCTTGGATATTGTACAATTATTGCAACCTGAAATGTCAATCAGATTGTCAGTTACACAGGTATTGAATATCATTGGCAATGGTAGGTGGACTCAGCAGAGGAAATCATCAAAAAAAAAACACTGTCTGAATTCCAAAACTTGGAATGTCAGATCACAATTCCTTATGCAATGTGTGGTTTAGAGGAAACTTAAGGTACTCAAGTGGATAAAATTGGTTTAGAATTATTTCTAAAACTTGCAAAAAGATGAAACGCATTGCTGTTATGGGAGGCTAAACACAGTACGTCCATGGTCCATCCAGACCAGGCCGGGCAGGAGGCAGGACTGGCAGGAGCAAATTTACAGTTCAAGTTTGGACTTTGGTCCACTTCAATGACATGATGAGGCCTACGCATAAGATCGGAACATATGAGTAAACAGTAATGGCAATAATGTAATTAGCATTAATCACGGTAAAATTCCTCCAATACTTTTTGAAACTCGCCAACGATAAAATCAATTACAGCGGTGTGTTATACTGATACGGCGGTATATAGGGCCTTGCTGATACGGCCTGCCACGTGAAAGTGTCCGATTTGCGCCATTGCTCGTAACAATCGAGCTGGATATGCATCTAACAAAAGAACTCTAGTATTTATAAGTTGTTTACAAGATTTTCACACTCACAAGTCAAAGAGATTCCAAAAAGAACAATGTAATGAAAAAAATAATTACATATTTTTAGGGATATATTTTTGGTGAAATTTTCGCAAAATAATAGCTACGAATATGCTACGGATCATCTCAATCTACGGATCAAATCGCTTTAACGTTCGTCAAACCATATTCAAATTGGATTTTGTGATTCCGTCGCTAGCGGGCACATACGGTTTCTAAACTTTTTTGCTATTTATTCTTCCCTTTCTCTGGCAGATAGGAACTTGACAGCAATATCACATGCATAAAACAAAAGGTAAATTATGCAGCTGTTATATTCCCTATCAGATCAGTCTCCCTCCCGTTGACCATCTTGAGGGGGCCGACGTGGTTTTAGACTTGTCACGCACAGCTAGGTCAAGGTGTCGACAGGACGGCGACAACCTGGAATAATAATCGCGAATACACTACAATTCAAAGAAGCAATGTTAACAGATACGGCGTTACCAGAAAACGTGACAGGAATCCTATAATTATATCCTATAACTATAATCCTATATTTTTTTTATAGTCCTCATAACCTCCACTTCCACTAGATTCTCCACCTGCTTGAATTAACCTGTCCCTGATTTTTCCCCGGAATTCCATTTACTGAATGCCTTGATAGTAGATACCATGGTTGGAAGTCGGAACTAAATTCATAAGAAGAATCGGTAAAAATCATGAAATCGGATGTGTTACATGTATTGTGGATTGGTATGAACACAATGTTCACTCTACAGTTTACAAAACGAACATATATCAGTAGGTACGGTCTTTGACACATTCCACATCGAAGGAGAGCAGCCGACCGACCGCCACCTATCGGCGACCGCCGCAGGCTGAAGTGCGGGCCGCTGCCGCCAGGGGCGCCCGGTCGCGGCGCGGACACGCGGCCGGCGGACCAGCAAACCCGCGGCGCCGGGGCCAGAGCCGCCGAAAACCAGAAAACACTAAAACAAGGCTGACGCGAGGCGGAGGAGGGCTAGTCGGCCCGTCTCCCTCTCTCTCATCACGCAATGTAAAAACGCTCCTCACACTCTCCAGAGACGGCGCGCAGGCCTGTGACGGCGAGCCGCGGCCGCGTGAGCCCCGGGTGACGGCGGACGGCCGGCGGGCGCCGGTCGCAGTCAGTGAGCGCACGGACACACCCCGACCCGAAGCAGATTGTCATCCCACCCCGCCCCGTCCCCACATTACCCTCAGCCGGCGGAGGAGCCGCTGGGAATTCGACAGATAGGAAGGCTGCGTATTAGAGAATTACTTTTCAAGAAATTGGGAGAAATTATATCAGCGTCCGATAGCAAAATATGTTGTGCGAAATCGATCCAAATAATCTTCAACTAGCTAGGAGACTTCTGAAGAAAAAAGAACATAGAAGATAATCACGAAACGCAAATCGCATCAACCATACCATTCACGAGTCACGCATGTCGCAATACATAGAACTCACGGATGGAGGACTCACACCAGCAACCACTGTTCACTCTCACGACCACTGGGGTAGCTTCCCCGCACTCACACAGACCACAGTCTCTCTCATAGATCACCCACCATAACAACAGTGCGCCAGTCACCCGCCCAATACAAAACACTCAGCCGGGCTGTGGGTCGGCCGAGCGCCACTGAGCGCCCTGTCGTGCGGCGCAGAGGTCACGAGAGGCCGCCGGGCCGAGCGCCCCAGCCGCCAGAGTCATTGCAAAGTCCGCGTATATCACGATTATAAAACGGTGCAGCGCAGGCGGCGGCGGGGCCTATTAGTCGCGCGCCGCCTGCCATCTGGCGGCGGCGGGCGAAGCTGAGTTACGCGGTCACCCGCTGGCTGGCAGCACCGGTCAGTCCCGGATAACCTCCGCTCGACGCCCGGCAATCAGCACGCTACTATTTCTTCCATGTCGAGCTGGAACGCGAACAAAAATATGTTAGTGTTTACGGAGAGAGCACAATATATTGACATCTTTGAACCGAAAGTACACACATAAAGGACGAACGCAGAATAACAAAATTAAAGAGCAAAAAAATACTTGTAGTATGTGGGCTTCTACCTGGATCACTGTAAGCTTGACTGTAAGTCAGTTGAGAAAAAAGTTTGTAAAGGAAACTGTTAAAAGGAAATGCTTGCCCACGTGTAAAGCTAATAAACTATAATCCCTATCCCAGTGTGAAGGAAGCATTCACAAGGAAGCAAATAAGATAAGAAAATAAATTCTGCCGTCCAAAGGCAAAAACGCATATGTCGGGTCATGACCTGACCCGACATATGCGTTTTTGCCTTTGGACGGCAGAATTGCCAAATGTCTATATGTAAGGGTGGTAAGCGGAGATAGGTATGCAATAACTAAGGCTTCGTTGTGCTCGAATGAATAGCACTGCGAAGAATGCAGGCAATATGTACATGCCATCATATAATAGAGTCGAATTATTTCGAATCATTGGCGCTTGAATAGCGTGATGGATATCTTCTACAGGTGTCAATAGTGTCAATATGTCAATGCAGGTTCATGGTGCATTTAATCGCCGCTACGTTGCGAGCGTGAGCCCCTGGCTGGTACAACAGGTAATGACACGCTTATGATAATTCCAAGAATGCACGATTATTCGCATGAATTTGTCCTTAAATCTGGATGCACTCCGATTATCGGAGCACCCATGAAGTGTTCCATCATAATGATGAACAAATGTTATATTCAACCTACTCTTATTCAACGAATAAGGAGATGAATATGTATATTCCCCAGCTATTTTTCACTATGCATTGTGCAATAGCTCCGTGGATTTCTAGTGCCAGAATTTTCCGACACTTTTTGCGATCTAATAATCCAACCAACTACCCACTAATTCTAATGTCAGTGTCGACACATTTCGGCAAGTTGTGCTCTATACCACTGGAAATACATGGACCGATAGGAGCGTCACGTCAGTGAAGGGACATGTGCAGAGCGGAGTAGCACTCAGAGCGCGCAACGCGCGCCGCTCTCAGTCTTACGTGTGTGACAAGCGCGCGAGCGGCGGCCCGTCGACGGCGGCGCCCGACGGCCGGTCACAGATCATCGCGGCTCGGAGGCGGCATGGAGGTGCTGTGGTGGGGCGACAGACACCAAAACGGCGGTTCACCACTGGCCGGCGGCCGACAGGCGCACAGCGACAGAGCGAGCGACAGGTCGAGCAGGAGAGAGTGGCACAGAATGTGTGTGTTTGTGTGTGTGGCAGAGAAAAAGATAGAGAGAGAGAGAGAGAGAGAGAGAGAGAGAGAGAGAGAGAGAGAGAGAGAGAGAGAGAGAGAGAGAGAGAGAGAGAGAGAGAGAGAAGAGAGAGAGAGAGGAGACAGAGAGAGACAGAGAGAGACAGAGAGAGACAGAGAGAGAGAGAGAGAGAGAGAGAGAGAGAGAGAGAGAGAGAGAGAGAGAGAGAGAGAGAGGGAGGGAGAGAGAGAGAGAGAGAGAGAGAGAGAGAGAGAGAGAGAGAGAGAGAAAAAAAAAACCACCGTCTCAGATGAAGATGTAGCGCAAATGTAAGCGACAGAGAAAGAGCTCCGTGTTTTCGAGAGTGTAGAGAGTAGCCATGCCCAGCAACCGAAAATGCATAAGCAAACAACCAAACAAATCATCACGCAACTCAAAGCTAGTATCTATCTAACCAGTACCCCGACAGCTCCCTCACAGTGGTCTACGAAGCAGAGCCGACACGAGTCGCTTTCTTTTGGGAACACCCCTGTCCCTCATCCCTGACATCAGGCTACCCACGTCCTGTCACCCATGTCACCAATGGAATTGACAGTCTCTCCTTCCGTTGCTGTGCCCTATCCCGTGTTTTGTCCCATAGAGTGCCCTGCCTCACCCAGTGATGAATCCGCCCAGCCTGTCGCCCAGTTCCCCTCCCTGCCTCTCACCGTTTCCCTCCCTCCCTCTCACCGTCCAACCCTTCTCACCTGGCAGACCGGCCGTAGGTGAGATCGGAGGTGGACAGGTTGGGCACCGTGCTGAGCGAGTGTTGCGCCGTACCGCCGCCGGGCGCCACGGCGCCGGCCGCAGCCCGGTGACCACGCAGGTACATGCGCCGCGGGTCGGCGTCACCGCCGCCGCCGCCGCCGCCGCTCGGGGGACGCACTGCTGTCCGTGCCGCCACCGGACCGGCTGCGGAGGGAGAGGGACGCTCAGTGGGGCGGGAACGGAGCTAGCGAATACACACAGATGGAAAGGGCCTTTGACAGAGAGAGACTACGGGTCGCTGGGAGGGCAGTCAGAGGGAATACGAACCATACTAGTGCAGTATATCACACGCATCGAGCCTTTGGCACAAGAAGGCAAGACTATTACTCATGAGTGACGACGGAAATTATGTCGATTTATTGTTGTAATGAGACCTTATCCTGGCATGTGACCGAAAACGGCTACAGGAGACACGATATCCAAACAACGATTAAAAGCACCGCCGACAAGTTGTCAATTTCAATGCCACTGCAGAACTACTGAATAACGTTTCCGGTGAACACATGTTGGACGGAGTAGCACTTCCAAAAACCACCCAGCGGCACTAAGACTACGTCAGGACATTGATGGCACGCAGCCATGTCCCCTGTCCACGTCCTGCAGTGGCGAACCGGAGAACCACGCGGCGGCGGAGTCACAGAGGAACTCAAACGAGTGCTGCACTCACAGGGTACTCACAGGATTGCTGCAGGCGTCGCCGCCGCTCGGCCGCCGCGGCGCGGGACTCAGGAGCGGCGCCAGGACGGGAGAGCGCCTCTTCACTCGGAAGACCAGCGCTGGGTACAGCAGAGGATTGTGGAGAGGGGATGACGAGCTCACAGAGATGGGACATAGGGGTAGGCGAAGGAAAGGAGGTAGATGGTAGAGGATGGAGGAGGCACATAAGTAAGATTAATAATTTAACACCAACAGGTCAAAAGCCAATAACATGAAGAACAGAAAGAGATTAACAAAGGCTAGCGTTTGAAATGGAAATCAAAATAAGCGACCTTCTTGATAGCCGCAAATGCAGCCCTTGTGGGCTTTCCGAGGGCGACTGAACGCTGCAATCCTCAAAGCTGAACTTCCTTCTTTACACCGCAAACCACTCAGATAAATTTTACAGAAATTAATGAGAGGATATTCACACACATAAATTAGGGGTGGGAAAAGAGAGGAAAACAGCAAGGTGATACGTCATCAATTTATATTTTCAGACAAGGTATCATTGTCTGGCAGTCACTGCCAAACTGATTTTCATTTCTTGGCTTCAATAAAAAGCATCTATTCCGTTAAATAGTTGATCTGCTCGTCGTATCGTTCACTCTTCGGTCGCACATTCACTAGCCCCGCCTTCACAGCTCCATTCATAGCGAGGCTCAAACCGTCAAACAAACTGGACCTTCAAACCCAGAGACTTAAGCTTAAACCATCCAGCAGTCTTCATACAAACTCCTTCAGAGTTTGCAACTCCTTCAGAGTTTGACAAGCCACCCACTCCAATTCGGTTGCATTATCAAACGAAGCTGAGACTTCCGTGCTCGTTTCTAACTAAACTAAGGACCACCTTGGCTCACCACCACAACTAGGGCGTCTCAGCTCACTCCAACATCAGTTCCACCGTCGGGACACATCTGGCGTCCCATCACCACCCACTCTGCAGTCCATTCAGTTCTCTCTCAGCGTCTCTGGAGGTAGGAGATCGGGCGGCGGTGAGGAGCGGTGAGGAGCGGCGGACTCAGGATCAGGCCTCGGTGGGGCGGCGGCCAGTGTGACGGCGTCAGTGCAGCGCCGGCCGCGACGAGCGGGACCGGCGCGCGGCGCTGGCGGCGGCGGCGGCGGTGGCGGACTCACCGACTGGCGGCGGCGCGGCGCCGGGTCCGGCCGCACCCAGCCGGTGGGAGCCGCCGTGGCCGCCCCGGTGGCGGCGCTCGCGCTCCTCGCTCTCCGCCTTCTTCGAGCCGCCCTGCACGGACACATACGGCGGGGAACATCGTCAGTGGGTGAATATACAGAGCGTCACGGTGTAGGTAGGGGATGTATCTCACCGTCAGAGGGTACACAAACAGTGACGTGAGATGCGTATGAAACACACTGTCACAATGGGAAATAGGACACTAAGGCATCCTCACAATGCGGGGCTACGACACGACTGAGAGGAACACACCACCACAGAGAGGAATACGTAGACAGCGAACAGCATATCACCTGTCCGTGCTTCTATCCTCAGGATACTGAAATCCTTCTCCTCCACGCCTCAACCCCCCTCCGGGCTGGGCAGGCAACTTTGTCTCATGCGGGCTGCTCCCTTGGAGCGGCACCGCTGCTCCCGAGGGAGCGCACCCCGTAGCCGGGTGCAGTGAGTGCCTTGGGGCTGGGTGGCCTGTCCTCTGGACGGGCTCAGCCCCGGCGACTCACTAGGGTGCCTGCCCAGACCAATGTCTCCCCCTAATTCCTATCATCCTTCCGGCTCTGCAATGGTCTTGTCAGACCGAAAGGGCCTAACCCAACAAAACAAACAAAAACAGCATAGGGATGCATATCGAAGAGAGAGGCAGCTGATTATACAGACCACATTTCTTGGAAACACGGATAAATCCGCAAATTAAGAAGACTCGTCAATAAATAGTAAGAAAATTAACCTCACTCTCATTCTATCTAAAAGTAAATTCCGGATTCGAAATAAAACAAACTTTTTGAGAAGCTTTCGGCATTGCGCCATCATCAGCTCTGGAGTTTTATTCGCAAACATTTGAGAAAATATGCATTCGGGCTGATAGTTTTGTCTGCAGTTATTTCATCCAGTACTTCCTTCATATTATATAACAGTTGGCGGCGCAAGAACATTTCGTTACACACATGCATGTAGATCGACATCGTATCAAATAAACATCGTATAAGTTAACATCAAATAAACCTCGCATCGTATCGTGCATCATTCTTTTGAACAGATTCTTTTGAACACATAGGAGGCCCAGATATTGTGAAGTAAAACACCTTAAATACATTCATCACACAAACATACAACGAAAAAAAAACCACAAACACATACAACATACAAATAGGACATACACCTTGCAAACAGTTGATCGATGTCGATCAGTCTGTCAGGCTCAGGTACCACGCCGTATCAAAGACCACGATGAGGTTTGTGTGTTAAGGGTAGGTTTCAGATCACGAATGTATATTGATTCCCAAATCTTTCTGTCTGGACCGTCTTTGGAGACATGCAAAATTTGGATCGAGATGTTGTCGCTGCCCAGCTGAATATCTGGATGTTTGGTTTGATGGAAGCCAAAGGGAGTGTCTTCTTTTCTGTTTCTAGCATCTCTGATGTGCTCGTTGTACCTGAGCCTGACAGACCGGCGAGTTTCTCCGATATAAAATGATGCGTTTTCGTCGCACAGCTTACAGTCCATTCGATAGATGACATTTTTTGGTGACATTTGCCTTTAAAGGAAATAGTTCACTTTTAACATGGGGTTTGGAACTGGAATAGCAGTTTTGTTGCTTGCGCTGAGACTAGCACAAATCAGAAGCTTTTACGGCCCAACGATCACCCTAGACGAAGATATTCCATTTTTCGTTCCGAAAAGAGTGCCTTGCAGAGGAATGCGTGCCTTGCTGAGGAATGCAGTCACGTCATCGTCAGCCAATCAGAATGCTGCTTACAGCCGATGGGTTTGTCCTACGCAATATGATTGGTCAACGCGTAATAAGCTTCCGCGTCAAACATTATTTTATATAGAATATAGTTCTTCTTATACTAAAATATAGAAAATAATCCTTTTTACAAAAACGTTTTGTTTTATTTTCTGATCATTTTGAGCATAAAAAAACATAAATCCATAGCAAAATACTAATTTCAGGAAAGTGAACTATTTCCTTTAAGGCCTGCCTCACACCCATTGCACCGCCTACCTGCCCCCGGACACGGTGGAGGAAGGTAGGCTGACCTAACCAGTTTTTTCTTCAAGCTGGGACCTCCCTTCCACGCTACCCTTATGTTCAGATGACTACTCCTGATGATGCCTTCTGTCTTACGGCAGAGTTCATCATCCACGAAAGGGAGGGTCATGAAGGTTTGAGAGGGTTGTTGCTGAGTGGCATGAGTCAGAGAGGCTGATGCTCTTCGGACTGCTTCGTTTTTCAACCGATTGACTAAGTGAGGAGCACCGCTTACCTTCCTCCACCGTGTCCGGGGGCAGGTAGGCGGTGCAATGGGTGTGAGGCAGGCCTTAAAGGCAAATGTCACCAAAAAAATGTCATCTATCGAATGGACTGTAAGCTGTGCGACGAAAACGCATCATTTTATATCGGAGAAACTCGCCGGTCTGTCAGGCTCAGGTACAACGAGCACATCAGAGATGCTAGAAACAGAAAAGAAGACACTCCCTTTGGCTTCCATCAAACCAAACATCCAGATATTCAGCTGGGCAGCGACAACATCTCGATCCAAATTTTGCATGTCTCCAAAGACGGTCCAGACAGAAAGATTTGGGAATCAATATACATTCGTGATCTGAAACCTACCCTTAACACACAAACCTCATCGTGGTCTTTGATACGGCGTGGTACCTGAGCGTGACAGACTGATCGACATCGATCAACTGTTTGCAAGGTGTATGTCCTATTTGTATGTTGTATGTGTTTGTGGTTTTTTTTCGCTGTATGTTTGTGTGATGAATGTATTTAAGGTGTTTTACTTCACAATATCTGGGCTTCCTATGTGTTCAAAAGAATCTGTTCAAAAGAATGATGCACGATACGATGCGAGGTTTATTTGATGTTAACTTATACGATGTTTATTTGATACGATGTCGATCTACATGCATGTGTGTAACGAAATGTTCTTGCGCCGCCAACTGTTATATAATATGAAGGAAGTACTGGATGAAATAACTGCAGACAAAACTATCAGCCCGAATGCATATTTTCTCACATGTTTGCGAATAAAACTCCAGAGCTGATGATGGCGCAATGCCGAAAGCTTCTCAAAAAGTTTGTTTTATTTCGAATCCGGAATTTACTTTTAGATAGAATGAGAGTGAGGTTAATTTTCTTACTATTTGTTACAATGTCTCTCAAGTTAGCGTTGAAACATATTCAAGACTCGTCAATATAAGGAGAACCCGTCACGATGCGGAAACACCGTCATTATGCGTAGATACTATTACGCTAGAGGAGATATTATTACGGTACAAAGACACCATCGCCGTCATAGTACCAAGAACGAACAAGAGTCAGCGTGCGTACACTTGGCCTCAATTCAACGATCAATGAACTAATGGTGGCAATTACGCGTAACGTCTTCTTCGGGCAATGTCCACATCGTGGAAATGATTATATCCAGAAACAGATCCATCATTCATTACACATCGTGTAATGTGAATAACTTGGCTCACTATCGTCCATCAGTGTTTACAAACGCAGAGTACGTAGGCACTTTTCCGTCGGCCACAGCACGAATAAATAAGCAACAATAGAACATCCCAATAATGATAATGTGCCTTTTCGTCTAAAAATAGTGCAATTGGCACAATCATAATTGCCCCAAGAAATGCCGCACAATATTAAAGCCCTAAGCTTTAAATTGATAGGTACCTATATTTAGAGGACGTAATCAATTTCAATTTTGTCTGATGTAGTTTCAATTCACGCAGCTTTTGATGGAGTGTTGTAAGCGTTATTGTAAATACTCGAACTGTCTTCCAGACGTGTTAAGAGCTTCAAATGTCACCAGTCGTGCGTAACTGACGTTATGTAACACAAATTGTGTCGTGCACATACCCTACAAACAGAAAAGTAAACTTGTCAAAACACCCGCATCTCGGCACTTTCAAACACAAACACCAACCCTTTACATACCCAACGCACGTTCAGTAACGACATCTTCCACAAAGCCAAAGCGCTAACTAGGTTTTACACTTACACCGACGACACAAAAGATCCCGGCACAACTTACGAATTTGAGCATGTTCCAGTCAAAGACGTAGTCGTAGGTAAATCCCTCTCGGTGAAAAACGGTGCGGAAGAGTTGGCGCAGGAACGAATAGTCTGGCCGACCATCGAACGAGAGCGCCCGGCAGCACTTGAGGTACGCCGTGAACTCGCCTGAGGAATAGAGGCGGGCGTCAGAGTTAGAGTAGGACTACACGCAGGATGGATATGGGGGTAACTACACCACTGTGGCTCAGAAGTGGGCGTCAGGTTAGAGTCAGGAGTACACAAGCTGAACGTATGCATGGATGAAAGACAAGGCGTAATCTGGCTGCGGGCAAGCAATTATCAACCCTAAGCACAGGCATGGTTACCAGGCCATCGCCCATAACAAACGCAGTCGTAGCTAACGCCCCCCCCCCCTCCAAAAAAGGATACACTACACTAGCTGGCTAACACCCTAAAACAAAATCACCAACCGATCACCCTTCTTATCCGCTAAACTCACCTGGGAACCCCTTGCACAGCTCCTCGATGGGTACGGTCAGCTTTTTCTCGCTGATCTTCTCGTACTTTTGGCGCTTGGTGTTGGCCTTGAGGCCCTGCCAGGGCAGCGAGCCGCGGTTGAAGTACATCAGCACGTACCCCAGCGACTCCATGTCGTCTCTCCGGCTTTGCTCTGTCGGGTAAAATGTGGTTTGGAGGTCAGGGGCAGGGGGTCGGTACTGCGACGGGGAATGGGCTAGGGGCATTTACTTCAAGTGGGCAGGTCGGTGGAAGACTGGGACTGTACCATGAGGGGGTCATCAAGCTGCATTTAGAAATTGGCATATTTAAATATGTACGCACTTAAAGTGTGTTTGACTACATGGCCAAGTGTGCGCTGCATTCTTAGCGCACAGAAAATGGAAAATGGGTGCACCGTTGCAAATGCACATTGCAGATACTCATAGGCGTCTGGAAAAACACAGGGATGATGACTGATGAGCATGCTATGTATAAATGTATATTCAGGACTGTCCAATGCATAAGCAGTAGGTAATGAGTCAAAACAACACGGAGACGCGTCATTCTTCCACCTACACCAACAAGATTACTATCAGTGTGATTTTCCAAACCTGGAAAATCCCCAAGTGCCACATTCAACATCCCGAAAAAGCCCCACTGATTATTGAAAACTCGGAAAGCAGCTCGGTGCTAGTTAGGTGCAACTATGGTTTATTGAGGGTATGATCGTAAACAAACGTAGCCTCCACGAGTCCCATATAAACAGGCAGGGATACGGATGATGAGAAATTGGGGAGCGTCTGTCATGCCAGGATGAAATGAAATGTGTTTGGCCAAATCGAACGTTCGGCTGACCTGCAAACGCCTACGGAGTTGGTTGAACGTCACCGGAATAGATTAGGCAGGCATGCAAAATGCACCTTCATTAATTACGCTGTAATTACGAATGAACAAAGATAGGCGACAGACTACGCACAAAGCAAAGGAGAGAAATGATAATATCTTTGATATTTGCAACCTACATCTGGACAACATAAGACGATATTTAACGAATTATACACAAAATAATGCAGGGATACCGAAAATACAGCGCCGTCCTTCACAACCGAAAGAACACCACACCCGTGTCCACAACACCCAGCAGTTTGTATCTCACCGATGCCGATGTGTGTGTTGAGCGAGGCGTACCGCGCCGTGCCCGTCAGGTTCTTGTCCTCCCGGTACGGAATGTGGATGTGCGTCCGCTCGTTGATGTACCGCTTGGCCAGGCCGAAGTCGATGATGTACACCAGGTTGCCCTTCTTGCCCAAACCCATGAGGAAGTTGTCGGGCTTGACGTCCCGATGAATCAGATTTCGCGAGTGTGTGTACTCGATACGTGTTATCTGCCGAAAGGACGCACGAGTTAAATATGGTAACGATAAAACTCAAGGACAAACTGTGCTCTATCGAACTCGAGCAAAAAGGGCTGACGGTCTACCAGAAACATTTAAATAAACACCACGGATGGTCTCAGACACAATTGGACACACGCTGTCACAGTTGTTCGCTTGAACACCAAATACTGGGCGGACGGTTACGCAATATTTTCAAGGCATCATAAATGCCACGATACTAATGATACGACACATGTTACAGTCACAACATCTTGCATAACGGAATATTTCCGCGGTAAAACACTCGGCAGCAGAAAGCAGCCAACAAATCAAGTCAAATCTACAAACAGCTGGAGAGCAGGCAATCACTTTGCACAATCTGTGCCAAATGCCGTGCGAGTACCGATAATCGAGTTTTAGGGCGTTTAAAGCAAGCGTTTATCGGCGCCTGAAGTGCAATCGTGGGACGTTTAGCTCTGGTATCGAGCCCCGTGTATCTGGTACACGGAACACAAGTAAAGGCCTGGCTACACTATGCGTTTTCTTCGTGCGTTTCTGCGTGTTTGCGTGTTTTGCGTGATATCGTTCTAGAAAAAGGAACGATATTACGTTTTTGTGATGTTTTTCACCTTAAATTTTAGTTACATAAGAGTTATATTAGCTTTTGTATATAACCAAAGTAAAAATTATATTGTTTATAACTTTTTTTTCTAGAACGATATTCCGCAAACCACGCAAAACTGCAAAAACGCACGCAGAAAACGCATAGTGTAGCCAGGCCTTAAGTCCCCGCTTTGCAAGGCGCCGACGCCTAACCGTAACCCATATAACCGTCCTATCCCGCGAAGGTACACCTTCTGTAGTCGTCCTTTTCTGACGACTACAGATCATCGGAAAAGGAGGAGTAGGGGAAGGTGGGGTAAGACGGCCCAGCGGGGCAAGACGGACCACCAGCCCTCCCGGCTGAACCGCTGCTGGTATCTACATACTGCTTTATGCACTCACTATGTTTGTTTTCCTTCGTAACAATGGCCACCTTGAGCTCATGCTGCTAGGATGCATAGCTTTTGAGTTATTGAGAAAAATGTTGTTTTTCGTCAAACCGATCTAATATAAGAGGTCTAAGGGTGATTCAATTACGGCGGTTTTCTTGCATGATTAGTTTCTATTTTGCACTTAACTGTGAAGAACAAAGTTATAAACTTAGTTATAGTCACACTTTAGGAAAGGCAAGGTTTTGCAATGTTGGGCTATTCGACATATACGTCATGATAATGACAGAATTTAGATTTGGGGCAAGACGGACCACTGTGGTCCATCTTACCCTGTGGTGGTCCATTGTACCCTGCATATGGAAAGTTCTTTTCCAAAACATTGACACAAGTTTAAGTAAGCTAATTTTTCAGGAAGGAGTCTTTGTTGCATGTGAGCCATGCATGCAAGTGCTCAGTTAGCATGCATTCATGCCAAACGACAATCAACACACATGTTCCCAGCTTTTAGCTGCACTTCCATCACACATGAGTAAAGAATAAAGGCTCATTTTGTTATTTTACCATTGTTACTTTTTCTTACAAGAGTACAGAGCAGAAGTGTAACACACATGAAAGGATAGCAGGCACTTCTGGGTGGTCCGTCTTACCCCACGTTTTTTGTTGTCTGAACTTTTGACATGTCCCTCTTTAACCCTATTCCTGGCGGGCTCCGACGGGACAAGAAACTGGCGGGGGGGGCCGATTCGGCCCCCCCTTCAGATCTCAAAAACTACACATCGCAGCGACAAACGGTAAACGGCATCGGATACGCACGGTCAAGATCTACAATTTTTACTGAGGTCATTTTCAGGTCAGGTCAAAGATGACGTCACAGGGGTCGAAAAAGTCAAAATGGCGGCGCTAGATATGGAGAGTTTTTCTCGAATAACTTTCGAATTAGTCAAGATAGGAACAAACTAAGGGCATCATCGTGATCCTCTCGTCAATCCGCATCGAATGATATATATGTTGACCTCGAAAGGTCAAGGTCAAAGGTTGACCTCAGGTCACGTGACCTCGAGGTCATCATGTATATCATTCGATGCGTCTTGACGAGCTGAACACAATGAGACCATCCACGCGTCTGTATCTTGTTCCTGTACGGAGTTATTGGCCAAAAACCTTTGGTGACCTTTGATGACGTCACATGACCTCACAGCTGCCCAACAGCAAAACAGACCTCAAGGTAGTGAAGGTTGATCGTATATGAAGCCATGTATGGTATATGGGGCCATTCCGACCCGTTTTAGTGGTAAAAACAGGGAGTTGATTTTTCCCCCATTGACTTATAATGGGGAGGTCGCGAAACTGACCTGACCTTAGGTCACCGATATCAAAATTCCGAGATATACAAATTGCACATACTGGTACCCTAACTAAAGCCTGAAGAGAAGAAATTGATCGGTCAAAAACTCTAGCTCCGGCGTGATTGCAAACTTTTCTGAGGTAGGGTCACCAAACCGCCTCTGGTGACCTGACCTGAGGTCAGATCAACTCAAAATTTTCAGACATGTTGCGTAGAAGCCTTTTAGGAAAAGTCAGAAAATTTGAGCTTCCTAGCTCAACGCGTTTGGGAGAAATAACCAAAAAACCTGAGGGGGGGGGCTCCTGAGGCCCCCCCCCGCCAGGAATAGGGTTAAGAGCATCCACCACCTAGATGTCTTTAATTTGAAATCTAGTCTTTACACATATCAACAGAGGAAGGATTGAGCATTCCGAAGACTATAAATAATATGAATTACGAGAGCAGTGTAGCAAGATATGCGGCCTCAAACCTTAGCTGGTCCGTCTTACCCCACCTTCCCCTACCGGGTCGTTCCCGTCAGGAGGCGTGTGGGGATTTACATGATCAATGATAACGAAATGTTAATTTGTTGGTTCAAACGGTTCCGACTTTCAATGTAGGCCCATGCCCCCTTCAATTTCAATGAAGGTTCATACTTCTGTTTTATAGTCAGAGCACAATAAAATACCACAAATGTCAATCGAAGCACCTAACAGAGCACAGCCCGTCGCTTCGTCACTCCGTTTTACCAACACACGGAAGGCGTGATACTTCCTTGCTGTTCATCACCTTTCACCTCCCCCGCCTGTAGCCTTCAGCGCCGCGCCGGTTGGCATGAGGCTGCACCTCTTCCTACCCCTCCCCTACCGCGCCCGCCCTCACCCCCCCCCCCCCCACTACGGCGCACATTCCCAGACCTACGGCGCAGTTGTCGGGAGTGGCCACTAGATGGCAGGGCGGTCTACGCCGAGCCGTCTCGCTCAGCTGGCTGGCCCAGAAAGGGAGCGTAGTTCTCACGATGATAAGGAGTCGTGCCCGCCCGCACCGCCAACGCTGTTACCAACCAGCCGTTAATCGTCCAATCACCGTCACCAGAACCACCTAGCTGCCCCTCTATTCGCGCACCACCACAAAAAAACTATCAGTTACACCAAGCTAACTTGGCTGCTCTTCTCCTCCCCCATCCCCACAACCATCACCCAGCTGTTGCCCTTTCCCTCCCCACATACACCCGCTCCCATTCTCCAAACACTAAGCCTTGAATCCAGTGTTGTTTGGCACACCACCCCTCCTGAGTCCCCTTATGCGACTCCCAGGCTCTGTGCCGTCACGCGGAGCGCCCATTCCCAGGCGTTGTGGCGTCACCACACAGCCGTGAGACCGTCACAGGCCGTTACGTGACGGGCACGTGCGGTCCGACAGCGCCACTGGCCGGGTCACTTTCACAGCCGGCATTGTCGAGTGTCGAGCCGCGAGCCGCGGGCCACGCGCCGCGCCGCGCTAGGGCAGTCAGGTGGGCCGAGGTGCGGGGAGGCTGCCCAGGCGGCGTCAGATGGCGATGGACCGCACCTGGTCAGCGCGCGCGGAGAGACTGAAACCGGCGCTCGGACAGCCCAGCCTGCAGCCGGTGAGAGGAGGGTTTGCAGCCGGCGGAGGCTGCAGCCAGCTCGGAAACCCTACCCTGCAGCCAGCGCTGGCGTCCTGCAGCCAACGGCGACCCCTCTGACACTGAGAGTCGTTCAGTGACCCCGTGCGCACGACCGTGATATTTATGACAGGCAACCGGAGAGCGGTGACAGTGACGGGTGACACTTCTGACAGTCCCTGAAGTAATGTCAATCGTTAGCAGCGTTTCACCAGGGCCTCGATGGCCCGACGACAACCTACACCCCTTCCCAAGCCCCACCCCTACTCAAACAGACTTCGACAGAGCCCAGACTGTCGCTGGCTTGTAAAAGACCGGACTAAAATTAAATTCGGGACGACTAATCCAAGTTATTCACGCCTCCAATGCCAAGCTAGTCCCTCGTCTCACTCTCCACAATGGGTACTCGCACGAGACATGAGTTGCAAGTGGACTGAGATGCTCTGAAATCTTAACAGGCTAAATCAAGTGGTGAATTGAATATAGAATCGTACTAAATGACACCGAGAAGGTCGGCGCTTGGGTACTCTCCCGATCTGCCATGAATTGGACCCAGTGGCCCCGTCCAGCATCTCACCAAATCAATGTCATTTCATATTCATTCTATTCATCGACTTGAGATTGTAGGGCACGACAGTTTAGTACCCAAACCTATGCAGTGCCATAATTATGACCATTGTCCATAAACGACAACTCAGTGTCATACTGTCATAATCATACAGCAACTTTTCCCATGCATGTATCATTCAAGAACGCCCTGGTTGGCCGGTGTAGCCTTGACCCAGTGAGCTGGCAGCTCAGGTGCCATAGGCGTAGGAACCGGGGGGGCCAGGGGGGCCACGGCCACCCCACCATTTTGGAGTGGGGGGGCCAGTAATGTGTGTGGCCCCCCCACTTTTGAGAGCACTCCAATGTCTGAGATTCGCTCGCTAAACACAAAAAGATGGGCCACGGTGCCGTTTCTGTCACGGATAATCTGTGCTTTGCAGGTAGAATTAATACCGTCTAAAACATGCAGCAGTTTAGCGATTTAGCGCGTAAATTT